TTATTTCTACAAATAAACTTTTTATTTATATACGAACAGTTATACTTTATATGCGAATATTTTACGTGAAAATACTAGATGTTATAGATTACGTCCATTTCATTTTTTGTTGCATTTTTTATCTTTTCAATATTTTATATACATACATTACATACATTACCGCTTTATAAAATATTTTTTTTTTAAATTTATTTAATAATGTAATTTTTAATGTGAGATGAGTAAAATAAATGGACTAGAACATTTGTTACCTACTAAAATTTTAATAATTTTAATTATTCTTCAAAAACATACCGATAAAAATATTAAATTTTTATTCCTAACTCTATTTTTTTATTAACTAATCATATATTATACTAATTTTCTTTCATAATTCATAATATCTATTCGAGAGTACAATTTTCTCTTATATTGACCTAAACAATCTAATTTTTAAATTCATTATTTGTATTTTTCTTAATAATCGTTTTATAATGATCGGATTAAGGTAACGTTTTTTTACAAATTGCATTTATTCGTGACAGTATAATATAACCCATTTATAAGTAAACTCATTTTTTGTTGTTTTCTTTTCTTCGCTGAAAGATTAAAACATAAAAATATCTCAATATAATATTATATATATATATATATATATAGGCTCTGATTCGAGGGAGCGAACACATGTTTTTTTTTTTTATCACCAATCCATCACAATCACTACTGTAGAGTCCAGTGAAACGGTTTTTTTTTCCTTTGAAATTAAAATATAAATCTACCGAATTCATATTAATTCGGTAAAAGCATTTCAATAAAAATCGGTCGATTGAAAACCCATTTTCGATAAAACAACAGCACTCGTCGTGACACACGCAATTCACGTGACTGTGGACGATTATAGTACGTCGTAGACAATAAAAATAATACATATAATAACCGCTTTAATTCGAGTATACTGTTATTAAAAACGTTCATATAATGTTCAATTCTCGCTCGCATTCCTATCATAGGCTGATCAACCCCAACGATGATTTCACTCATTGAATCACGTTCAAGCATCCGGATAATGTATATTACAATAATCATGTAAATTAAAATATATATAATTGAGGTATAAAATTGCATTTGGATCTGCTAAAGAGCGCTAAAAATGTATTTTAGTACCAATATAAATTAATTTATGGTTAATGTAGATAATGATCAACTTCGGAGTAACAACGACATTTAAAAACAGATATTTACAACTGAATACAGTGTTAGCAAGTATAATTATGTGTACTAAATGGAGAGTACGGCTAATCAAATTGTGCAATTTTAAAAACTTGGTACTTTTCTTCTCGTGTGATGAGGTAATCAAACTGGAAGGAATAACATTTTTTCCGATGGCAAGTTTTTCCTTTACCAATCATTACAGTGGTCCGGTAAACATTGCGGCTTTACCATCTGTACGTTTGTGGAACCAGACCAATATAAGATCAATTGTTTTCAGTAATAATTAGGGCCACTTTCATCTTAGTGGAGCAGTCAATAAAGAAAATTTTCGTTATTTGGCTAAGTACAACTTAAGAGAACTTCATGGCAGACTTCTTCACTCCCCAAAAGTTTGATTTCTAAATTATGGGTGATTAGGCTTTAATTTTTTGAGGAAAATGTACAAATCATGACTATCAACGTTCAATGTTATATTTTCAATTTACAAATCGCCTTCATTGATGTATCACTGCTGGAGGCCATCATATTTCTTATTTCATTTTAAAGTTATAACACATATAACTTCATGAGGAACTGAATAAAATAACATAAATCTAATTCCTGTAAATTGCATGTTTATTTTTTTTAAAAAAAATTTTCAAAACCACCCTGTTTGTTTTGCCGCACCACATACAAGCGGTATTATTTCACAGTACGTAAAGTCAGTAGCGTTCATCGGTAGAAGTAGTAACAGCGGTGCTCATGTGCAGGACAGGACGTACCGTAGCGCGTAACGACGCGTAATAAGGTCGCGTTCATTCTAACACAGTCTTATTCGAAAAACGTGGTAATCCAAACGAGCTTGAGAATTATCGCGAAACAGAAATAAACGCATCATAAAAATACGTATCGATAATACATCGGATGTGTACGTCGTTCGAATATGATTGAATACATCCATTGCGTTCGTTAGTTTTGTGTAATTGTAAGCGGTCTAAACAAAACACGTTTCTAATTCATTAGTTAAAATGGCTACCCATTACAATGTAAGAACTAATTTTGCATAGATATTAGCAGGATAAGGCATTTGATCAGCACATAGGAATCAATGTTAAAAAAAAACTATGCTTATGAATAAGTATGTTAGTGTTATTTTTACATACATACGTAATAGCAATTATTTCAATTGTATTCATTGTATTTTTCAATTAAATATAGATGAAAATAAATTAAAAATTTAAATTACAGAAAAATGTTTTTTTTTTAAGTCTTAGATAATCCGAATAAATCGGTAATTTGAACGATCCATTTTACTAATCTCGTTCGAATTAATATGACCCCTAAGTGAGAGTGTCAGTGTGAATAAAAATAAAATATTATGCTGTTATAAACCTACTATTTTATTTCAGTGGCGTATTTTGAAACTTTTTTTTTGCGGGGGGGGTTGTCATACCTAATAGAGAAATAATTTTATAAATTAGTATACAATTTTCTTTATCAACTTATTGTTTGAATACAAAATAATAATAATAATTAATAACTAAATTAGACGCATGATCGTATTAATCGTATTTTATATTTATGTTGCGCATAGTGCATACTGACAACTGACAAGACGTGATAGTTACGGATTAAGATATTGATATTTTTATCGACCGATAATTTCCCCACATCAAATTATTTATGTATCATGTGTGTGTGAGTGCCGTGCGGTCGATTGTTATTATTATTCGATTACAATTTAATTATTAGTGATATTAATATTTTATATATATATTTATATTTATACTTTAATTAATACTTTATTAAATAAACAAACTAAAATTATTATATTACTGATATTTTCAAAATTTGACGTTTTTTTTTTTTTGGGGGGGAACCCCCCCCCCCCCCCCCATAAATACTCCACTGTTTTATTTTTGTCTTACTAAGTTTTATAATTTTTTTTTTTTACAAATCAGTAATATTTTATTTATTTTATGTAATTGTAAAAAATGTTTGATAGAATTATTGTCATTTAAAAATATTTTCCTTATAATCTTATTTTTAGGAAGATTTATTTTTAAATGTATAATATTGAGAGTTAATTATTTCTATATTACATTAACATTGTTAAGAATAAGATAATTGAACACTAAATTAAATGTTTTTTTATTGATCCTTTAAGACAGAGATTCCTAACCAGGGTGCCGCGGCACCCTAGGGTACCGCGAGATAAAATTTAGGGTGCCGCAAAAATATTTGAAATATATATTTATTTTCAAACTAAATTTAATTAAACTAAAAATAAATTTGTACTTAAAAATTTTGTAGTGCGGATAATCGACGCTCCGCTGCATTTTAATTTTCATACTGGTTCGATTGCTATCAATTTGATGTGAATTGTTTTAAAGTTATTTACAGTGAAATACTTGTGATTTTATCTTATCTTTATTGATTATTAATGCTTATATAAATAAAACCGAAGTTACAAAATATAAATTTAAATATACGATACATTAGTATTGCGTATTTAGTATAAACTATAGAGTATAGGGCGTAGGCTATAGGGTGAATCCACATTTTTAGAAAATAATAAAGGGTGCTGTGAGTCAAAAAAGATTGGGAACCTCTGCTTTAAGAACTAATAAAAAAGGGCAAGCATTAGAAATAATTATTGACGTTTTTAAATATGTTTTATTTTCCGAAAATAATATTTTAAACACAGATTTTTTCCAAAATTAAATCTGTATACATTAAATATTAAATTTATGACGTATCTGATGGCCTTTAAGCTCTTTGTCATAACAGAAAAATACTAATTTGCTCATATAGCCATTGATTAATTTAATAGTATTGAATGGTAGACTAATTTTGGTTTCTCCAGCGCAGTAGAAGCGATTTGTCTCTGAATAATTATCATATTATATACTTCACTTTTATAAATAATAATTGGCTACAAAAAAAAATAGTAAAATGAAACAACTTATATATACTTTTTATTTATTTATTTTTTTTTATAACTTATTAACTGTTATAACTTTTTTTTTTTTTATAACTGGATGACGGAAATCTAAAAGTTATTCATTTAATATTCAATAAAATAAACAAACGAACTTCTTAACGTAACATTTAAATGCGTGAAAATTATACAACATGATGACGGAAATCTAAAAGTTGTTCACTTAATATTCAATAAAATAAACATACGCACTTTTTAACGTGCCACTTGAATATGTGAAAATTATGTAGTGAATTCTGAAAATATAACATTAAAATATAATAGCTACAGTCAAAGTTTTTATTTTAAATAATTAATATAATATATATATATATATATGTAAACATGTGAAATTTAATAGTGTAAATATTGTTTAAAATTAAATAACGGATAAAGTGTACATAAAATTATACTATAATATGAAGATGTTCTAACACATCATAGTTATTTCATAAACTATGTAAAATGT